ATCCAGCATGGTCCAGCTCTTAGCCGTTGGCTTTGTGGGGGACAGAATCGGTTGGTTTGGTTTTGTGTTTCTTTTTTTGTTTTTGTTTTTTGAGACAGGATTTTGTTGTGGAATATTACCTTAGCTACATAAAGACATGTTGTCGTTTGTATTGCAGAATAATTGTTTAATTGTAAACTGTGTTGCTTTTGTTTAGGCTGCATTTGTTTTGTTTAACTATGTAAAAAGTGTGTTGTTGTTCCACCTTGCCTACCCAAGGCACCTGATTGGTCTAATAAAAAGCAGAATGGCCAATAGCTAGGCAGAAGAGGAGTAGGCGGGGCTGGTGGGCAGAGAGAAAAGAGGAGCCCGCCAGCCTGGGGCCAGCCAGCCAGATATGGAAGAAGCAGGAAAGCAGGATGGACAGTATGTAGGTGAGATAAACAAGCCTGGGGCAGCATATAGATGAATAGAAATGGGTTGATTTGTTTTAAAAAAAAAAAAAAAAAAAAAAAAAAGCTAGTTAGAAACAAGCCTAAGCTAAGGCTGAGCATTCATGGTTAAAAAATCTCTGTGTCATGATTTGGGAACTGGTGGTCCAAGAAAGCCTGCTACAGGGTTTCTCTGAGTAGCCCTGACTGTTCTGAATCTCACTCTGTAGACCATTTTGGCCTTGAATTCACAGAGATCCACCTGCCTCTGCCTCCAGAGTGCTAGAATTAAAGGCATGTACTGCCACCTCAAAGCTGGGAACTGGATTCTCTCTCTCTTTTTCTTTTTCTTTTTTCTTTTCCATACAGGGTTTCTCTGTGTAGCTTTGGTGCCTGTCCTGGATCTCGCTCTGTAGACCCGACTGGCCTCAAACTCACAGAGATCCGCCTGGCTCTGCCTCCGGAGCACTACAAGTATGTGCCACTACCACTCAGCGGAACTGGATTCTTGTTCAGGCTTTGCTAGTACTCCTCTTAGTCCTATATCTTGAGTAACTCCCCCTCCCCAAGCCTTAATGAACCACTTCTGAGTCACTGGCTTATTATTTAGGTTGAGGAGATTCTGCAACCCAAAAGTGATCACTCAAACCTGGTGAGTTACATGAAAATATATTGCTTGAGACAAGCTGCCAAGGTAGAGCAATTGAATCCAAATTAGTGCCTGCACACTCTTAAAGGACATGCAGGTTACTTAAAACATAATGGGATTGCTGCAAAATCTTCATGAATATTGCCTTTCAGGTTTACAAGTGGTATATATTAATTGCTTCCATGGAGACATCCAATACCCATGGGCCTCTTGTAGACTTTGAGGAATGCCCCACCCCTGTGGTATGTGGGCACCACATTAGAAGGCTATATTCATTAAGTTTGCTGTCTACATCCTGAAGGGGGATTGTCAGGGGAGTGTTTTCCTCTTACCCTGGTCTCCGGCCACTTACAGCTAGAAGCATGTGTTCTTGGCTACGTGATATGCTAACAGGAGGAACATTAATAGACACATAACAGGGCATCCAAGAGAGCCCAGGACAACAGGGACCAGCTGTGTGCAGGGTCTGCCAGAACCCAGTTCGTGGTAGACAGCTCTGGGTAACAGGGCCACCTGATGTCCCCTGGTGTTCTGACTCTGCCAGGACCTTGTAGCAGGCAAGAAACTGGTTTGTTTGATCTTCGAATGGAGATGACCTTCCTCCGAAGCCCTTGGGGACTACACTGTGACTCTCCCATTGATGTATTCAAGTTGTTTTATGCCCCCCCACACACACTATGTAGCTCAATCTAGTCTTGAACTCCATATCCTCCTGTATCATTCTTCTGAGTGCTGGGATTACAGGTATGGTTAAGAAGGTGGGCTTCAAATGCTTTTTTTGAGCCACAGATACCTCTTATTCTGCAGGCCTGCAGGTCATACGGCCCGAGGGGCAGGGCCATTCTACCATGCCTGGAAGGCGTGCAGAGCACCTTTCTACTCCGGCTGACACTCAGATCGCCTCTGTCACCCGTAAATATATTCTCCAATGCAGAACACACCCCAGAGCTGGAAAAAACTGGCTGGAGGCACTTTCTTCTTTGTGGAGGAAAACACAATGAAATAATTTCTTTTCTTTGGATGGAATATCCAGGCATGCTGCAGACTACTAAAGGTTTCACAAACCTTGTGAGCTTCTAAATGTTTGTAATTTTTTCTCCATACCTTCTGGAATACACACGTCAAGATTCCTGCCACCTTTTGCTCTTCTGATCCAACTGACAATTCAGATTAACCCATGGATGCTGGTAGAAACACACTTAAGGCAGAGGCAGGAGGATTCCCACGAGTTTGAGCCCAGCCTGGTCTACATAGTGAGTTCTAGCCCGGCAAGCGATGCACAGTGAGAGAGGCGCTGCCTCAGAGAAGCAACAAACAGATGGTTGGGGAGGAGACTCAGAGGGTGAAGTGAAGCATGGGGACCTGAGTTCAGATCCTGAGCACCCATGTAAAAAGCTGGTCCTGGTGGCTACGTCTCAGTGCTGGGAGACAGAGACAAGAGGATTCTGAGTGCTTGTTGGCCAGACAATCTACCCAATCAGTAAGTTCCAGGTTCAGTGAAAGACCCTGTCCCCAAAGACAAGAGGGTAAGCGATTGAGAAAGATGCCCAACATTGACCTCTGGTCCTCGCAAACACATACATGGGCATATGACACCCCCCACACACACCTGGACAATTGTATATACACGGCACACACGCACGCACGCACACATGCACACCCTTGAGACAATGGGTCAGGTCTATTGTGTCTTCATAATTGTCAATCCTGGGATATGCTTCTGAAGATGGAGTATGACCTTCCAGGTAAAGTGACCACCTTTTGCTCAGAGTGATGTCTGTGGAGGGGTGGAGACCTAGCACATTGGGTGCCCTTCAGGGGAACCTGGCTAGCAAACAGCTCCCTGCAACAGAGCCTGAGGAGAAGACTCCACATAGCTTTCCAGCACCAGGGCTTCCTCTGAAGTAGTGAAGGCCCTGTCCCCGGATATGTGTGAGCCTTTGTTGTTATGACGTTTACAAAATCAGCCTCTGAGAGGAGTTTTACCAAATTACTGGTTTTCCACCTGGGTTCTATGGCCACTAAGGTTTCTAGAGTTTCAAGGATTCCATGAAAGTCATACTTAGCGGAACTGATGGCTTCACACCCTCTCCCATTACTTCTATGCCTAGGACAATGCTGCTTTTGCCTGTTTGGGAGGTCTTGTTTTAGAAAGGCTTGGCTGTGGTAAAGTTACCATGGGGCATTCTACAGAACATATGACCCATTCTCCTCACAGCTGTCAAAGTCACAAAGAAAAATCCAAGACTAAGACACGGTCACGAGCCAAGAGGACATACGAGTGTGACATAGGATCCTGGAACAGAAAATGGACACCAGGAGAATAATGAGTGTAGTTGGAGTAAGGGCCAGAGTGCAGCTCACAGTAATGTCCCAGTGCTGGTACGCTCGGCTTGTACAAATCACCACACTGAAGGAGGATGCTAACCTCAACTCTAAGGGATGTACAGGAACATTCTGTCCCCTCCTTGCAACTTATCTGTACATCTAAAATATCCCCCCCCCAAAAAAAAGGTTATTTTGAAAATTAACATTAGGAAAGTATTAGATAGATGAACTCTAAGCATCCAGAGCCGAGAAGACAGGTGGCCTTCTAGCATCCTGGGAAGTTTCTGGAATGAGAACCAGGATGTTGGGACACCGTCTTGGGCTTCCAGTATCCTGTACTGACTGTCCTTATCCCCATCTGTCCCACTGAGGTAAGACCATATCTGGAAAAATGGGGGGGGGGGGCAGGACCAAAGAGGGTCTTTGGGAAGACGATTCAAGGGAGTGAGGAAAGGATGGACTCATGAGAGTGAGGAGAAGGTTCTGTGTGGGAGAAGGAAGGGATCAGTCAGAGGATGAAGGGGTCTCGGGGGAGGGGGAACAAATAAGAACAGAGTATGACATGTCCGTATTAACCTTAGGACTCAGGGACAGGAGCCCTGATCCTTCCTGGGACCGACCTAGACCTCCTCACATCCCCAAGGAATGGGTTCCAATCAGACATAGATGTACATTCTGCTTGTGGGGGCCAAACTTCCAATCTGCTGTTCCACAGGGGCAAAAAGAAGCTGGTAAGTGATGAGGGTACCCAGGAAGGCAAGAGGGAGAGGAGACAGACGGACATAAGCAGAAGGACGGGTATGAAGAGACAGTCTAAGGTGGGAATGTGTCACCAGACTTCAATTACCAGAGACAGTTATGGCCCATGGTTTTATTCCATGACCAGCTGCTCCATCACTACAGGGTAGCAGGGAACTCTGTGGTGGCGGGAGGATGTGAGGGGACAGAGCAGCCAGGCAGCAGAGACAGAGTGTCTGCGATATTGGACTTCTTCCTACTTCTCTCCTCTTATTCCATCCATGCTCCCAGCCTATGGAATGATGTTGCCTACTGTCAGGAGGAGTATACCCCATCCCCCCTGATGATCCTCCCTGGAAATACCCTCTCAGATATGCCCAGAAATAAGCTATGCTACTAAGCCCTGGGGAATCTTCAGATCCATTAAATTGACAATCAAAACGAACTACACAGAAGCTGGAGAGATGGCAGTTAAGGACAGCTGTCGCTCTTGCAGAAGACATGAGTTTTGTTTCCAACCCCCACATCAGGCAGCCCCCAACCAACGCACTTCCAGCTCCTAAGAACCTGGTGCCCCTTTGGCTTCCATAGACATCATCACAGATAGATATAGAATCGATGGCAGCATAAAATCAAAATGGAACCAGAAGCCGGGCGGTGGTGGTGCACGCCTCTAATCCCAGCACCCAGGAGACAGAAGCAGGCAGATCTCTGTGAGTTTGAGGCCAGCCTGGTCTACAGAGTGAGTTCCAGGACAGACAGGGCTACACAGTGAAACCCTCTCTTGAAACTGAAACCATCCCCCCGCCCCTCCAAAAAATGGAGCCAGAAGCAGAAAGATGTCCCCCTGCTCCCTCACCCCAAGCCCATTGCATTTCCTGGTCTCCGCGCTCCCCGTTCAGGCTCCACGCCAGCGTTTCCCCTCACTAGGTGCCAAACGCTTGGGAGCCAAGACCCACATGTCCTAGCATGCTTAGGAGGAAGACTCCATGGGAAAGAAGCCCATCCCATCCAGCCACTGAGAAGCGTGCTAGGCAGGAGGCGGCAGAGAAAGAGAGGAACACCCTATGCCTCCCTCACCTCTGTGTGCCTAACACAGGGCACAGCAAAGCAGTCAGTAATTGCAGGCTCTGTAAAGTAAATGCGCCATCGACGTCGGAGAATGAGATAAAATAGCACGGGGCTTAGTGCTATGCTCCGGTCTCAGCTCCGCAGCTTCCTAGCTGTGTGACCTTGAGCACGTCACTCCTCTGAGACTCTCTTTGCCTGCCTATAAAATGACTATAAAAAAATACAACTGGGACCTACACCATAGGACTACTATGACCATTCGATGACTTACAATGACACCTGGCACACAGAAAACACTCAAGAACCCTTAGCTGGGGTGCCTATGTGGGGTATGCAGCCGGGGTTTCTAGGCTGACTAAGAGCAAAGAGGGAAGAGTGTCTACCGTTTCCTGTCTGGGGAGACCCCAGCAAGGGGCTTTCCGGTCATGTATAAAGCAGGTCTAAGTCCTGGGGGGGTCTTGAGTGAGAAGGAAGAAGATGTTGTTATACCCGGGCTACAAGCAATCAGTCTCCCCTGGTGCACATGGTCTGCTGCAGGAACTGTGTGGATGTGCCAGGGAAGAACACAGGGGGGCCATGGCCAAAAAGGACCATGACGGAGTCCAGCTTCAGTCAACCCTCGGTTCTAGAAAGGTAACGCTTAGGTAGCACTCCAGTCCTGTTAGGCTCGGGTCTCTATGTGTGAATCAGAGGTATTCAGGCTGTATTAAGGTATGTCAGGGCTGTGAGAATCCACTGAGAGGCCATGAGGATGCGTGGTTTTCACAATGGTCCTCGGTGATGGGAAGGAGACAGACTGCTGTACTCTTCCAGATGCTGCAGCTGGGCTCCATCCACTGTCCATGTCTAAGCCTTCCACCTTGCATCTCCCTGGGTGAGCACACACATTGGGGGGGCGGGGGACCTGTCTGAATACACAGCAGCCTCTTCCACCTAGGTACCCTGGTGCCCTTTGCAGTCCATCCTGGGTCTGTGGGACCTGCCAGAGAAGCAGTTGAGCGGAGAGCTCTGGAGCCAGGCTGCCTGAGGTTGAATTCTGACTCTTGGCTTTGTGACTTGGGGCAGCAGCCTTAGCCTCTCTGTGTTCTTTCCTCTGAAATTGCAGACCGTAAGCACACCCGCCCGCCCTGGGGACTTCGTGTGAGTTCAAACAGGAGTATGAATGTGTGAAGTGCTTACGGCTCAGCCTGGTACAGATGTTTGTTGTTAGTGATGCTGGCCTCCCCGTTCCCACGCCTTTCTGGGCCAGCGGATATCTCATCCCCTGGAATGTCCCTTCTGAGAGCTGATGGGCTCCCTGAGGCAGAAGTTCCTAGAAGGGTGCAGCTTCGGGCAGCAGCCAAGGCACACTTAAGATGAAGTCCCAGGATGTAGAGGGGACAGGTTTTTCTGCTAGGGAAAGAAAAGTAAGGAAAGAGCAGCCTTTCTCTCCTTTGTCATCCCCTCCCCACCCCCACCCCGCAACACACACACACACACACACACACACACACACACACACACACACACACCTCAGAGGAACCTGAAGGCTCTTGAAGTCCAGGAGTGGTCCTGGGCAGAGCTGACATTGAAGTTCAGACCTCAAGGCCTCTGTCTTTCCTTGTCTTTGTCAGAGATCGGCCAGTACCCCAGGAGGAGGATAGAAGGGGGTGGGGGAGGTGATTGGAATGGGAGAAGAGGGGCTGTCTGTCAGAAGTAGAAATTGTGAGGATTGTGGGGGGCGGTGTGTGTCTCAAGGTGTGACTGATTCTCTTTTGCTTTTATTTATTTGAGACAGGGCCTCACTGTGGAGCTCTGGCTGTCCTGGAACTCACTCTGTAGACCAGGCTGGCCCCCAAACTTACAGAGATCCTTCTGCCTCTGCAGACAGGAGATCTGGGATTAAAGTCGTGCACTGCTATGCCTGACTGGTGTCTGATTCTTTAATCAGAGTCCTACTTGAGGGGAGGAACTTTTCTGTATCCATATTTTACAGACAAGGAAACTGAGGCACAGGGAAGTGAACCCCCGAGAGTTACCAGGTCAGTCTAGCACTAACTGGGGTGATAGCTAGAGAGTCAACTAATCCAGGACTGTGATGGGGAGTGAGGAGGGTGGGGAGGGAGAAGTTGGGGATCCCGAGTCCCTTGAGGGTCAGGAATTTCCCAGCTTCTTTCATCCCTGAGCTGCACCAATTAGATGTCTTCCAGTCTGCATGAAGAGGGCGGGACTCGCTGCTGGGGAGACCCAAAGGCTGTGCCCTCCCATACCTGCCCCTCTTCAGTTTCCCCACCTGGGATACAGAAGCCATAAAGCCTGTCATTAGGAAGGGACCGTCCCCTTGAGAGGCCAAGCCCCTCTAGCTCACTTGGGACTAGTGGTCAGCAAGGCTTCCTTTCTGGGCCCAAGAAGAGGGAAAGAGGGTCTCTGGCTAGGGACTGGGAGATGCAGGCAGAGCAGACATTCCGGGATGACTCACAAGCCTGGAACTCATCGTTGTCGTCGTCAATGTGGGCCAGTGGGGACAGCCTCCTGGCCGGTCAGGGGCAACTGGAGACCCACTCTGGGTAGAGAACTCTGCCCAGAGACTCAGGAGAAGGCCTCTGAGGTGTTGAGGGAGAAGACACGACAGGCCTAAGACTACATCTCTGCTGCAAATTGGCAAATTGCAGGCTAAAGCAGCAGGAGGGAGGGAGGGAGGGAGCCTAGATTTCACAAAGGATTTCAAACCTTCTGGGAACTTCCTTTCTTATGAATAGTTTGACAAAAGGAGGAAAACCCCGCCCCTACTTCTGCCTCTTCTGGAGAGCAGTTCTCTCTCCGGGCCTGAGAGGCTGAGGGATGGCTGAGATAACTTCCAGGAACCCCCTCCCCGCCCCCTACCCTAGCCCGCGCGCGCGGATCCCCACCCCACCTCTTGATTCTTGTCTACCAGCTCTAACCTGCTTCACACCTCACTCCCTGTAATCCCAGTGCTCTCCATTCACGGGGTCGCATGTTTGGGGGGGGGTGGAAACTGAGGCTCAGAGTGATCACAGCTACCCTCCTCAGCTCTGCCTGGCTGAGCAGGTTTCTGAGTTAAGGGTGTCTGGGTCCTCTTCTAGCCACCCCCATGGAGAATGCTGCTGAGGCTCCAGGCTACGTGGCAAGAAATTGAGGGGGGCTGCACGGGAGGGAGCTGGGAATGAGGTCAGCGGGTTGGACGAGCCTGGCCGGCTGTGGAGGCATCTGGACTGCAGCGGTCGGGAAGGTGGGGGCCTCCAGCAGCCACTCCCAGCCCAGAGCTGTCGGTGGTCCGCCCACTGTGGCCTCCGGCCCATCTTGCCCCGCCCTCTCTGCAACCCACACTCCCCGGCCCCACCCCAGCCAGCTGGTTCCCATCAAGCCTTTCCAGGTGGCAGTTCCTCCCTGCCCACTGAGCTCCCTTCCCCCCTCTGGCCACAGGGCCCAGCTGAGAGCCTGGAGCTGTTGTCTGGGACTGTCCGGGGCTCCCAAGCTTGGGCTGGAGTGATAGGGTGGTCTTGTATCGTGCCTGCCTCTCATCTCTGCAGCTTCCCTAGACTGACAGTTCCCCAGTGAACAGCGGAGGGTCTGGAAAAGACAAGAGATCTTATCTCACAGAGAGCACTCGGTCCCAACTGTGTGGCCTCAGTCTCTTGCCCTCTCTGGACCTCAGAGTTCTCCTCTGGGGCAAGAGGGGAGGGTAAAAGGAGCACAAAACTTTCTTCCAACAGAATGTCTCTCTTGGATACTTCAACCTCCAGACCCTAAAACTTCTGGAGCTCTGCAGAGGTCCGACAATATAACTTTGCAGGGGTCAGCTCCTCTACCCCAGTCTACTCTCCTGCCGTCCTCCCATTAATCCCAGACCCCCACTTCCCCCCCACACTCACTCTTCTCAGAACCTCAAGGGCGCCAGCTTTTTATTTGAGTCTTTGTGATGTCACCGAGGCAAAGTGCTTTGGACAAGTCTTTGTCAAAAGTCACAGCCGGGCCCTGCTCAGAAGCGGTCACCAACTCTTTAAGATGCTAGGACTGAGTACCCAGAATTACAGGCCTATGGAAACTGGCTCCAGCTGACTCGTCCAGCCTCGTCTTGTATGGTTCCTCTGCGGGAGCCCTTGTCTGCTTGGCATCGTTCACACCCCACCCCCTCCCTTTCTGAATTCCCTGTACCTTTTTTCCCAAATGGAGCCTTGCGTCCAACCCCATAGCCTGCACTCCCAGGCTGACTCCAAAGGCCCTCCTCTCACCCAGGCATTGTCCGAAACCACCCTCCCCTCCTCCCCATCCCCCGCCCTCCACCCCCCAACCCCGGTCTTTCTGGAGACTTCCATTTACTGTGCAAGACATAGGCCGGTCAGTAACATGGTGTTATTACCCCATTTTTACAGATCAGGGAGATAAAGTTCTGAGACATGAAGCAATTTACAATCCACAGTCGGTGTGTCTTGGCCAGACTCACTTTTGTTTGCATTTCGAGGGCTTCCCTGCTTCTCTTTTTCTGAGTGTACATACTGTTGATCCTAATACTCTCCCAGCACGGGCCGATCGCAGAGGCCTGCAGAATTCTGCACCAAATAGAATCAACTAGACTGTCTTAGACACCTAACGTGGGATCTTCTTTTCCAGCCTGTTCTCCCCTAGACAAAGCCAGGAGCCAGTCATTCCCACCCCTCACCACCCAACCCCACGCCCACGCCTAACCTAACACCTGTAAGTTCTCCACAAGGCTCACGAACCCGTCATTCTGTTTTGTTTCCGTTCTCACCAACCTGGTCCATGCCTCCTCACTGTCCCTCCCTGGAATCCTTCAGCACACAGCACCCATTCCATCCAGCAGACTTGACTGTGATCCCTCCTGCTTCAGACCCCCTACGGGGGATGCACATCAAAGGTGTGCCTGCCTGGTCTTCTTGCCAGGCTCAGTCACAGCATGAGCCTTCCTGAGATTTCCCAAGTGTCTGTCTGGAATCTGCTTGTGCTTTGTCAGTTCTGCTGCATCTGTCAACTCAACTTCCCACTCGGATCTGCCCCTTACCTAGACCACCTCCACTCAGACATCTGCCTATCCAGGGTCCCAAGACTAGGGCAGACCCCCCCCCCCCATTCACAACCTGGTCTGTGGCAAGTTCATGATTATGAGGTTTCATTCATGTCTGCCTCACTACCAGATGTAAGCAGGGTGAGGGCAGCCACAGGGTCTGGGCAACTCACTGAATTCCAAGATGATAGACTCCCATTGTTCAAGCACCCTGGCGTGAGTGACTGCATCAGAAAGTGAACCATGACCCCAGCAAAGGAAGGGGGTGGCTGTGGCATGACCGTGGGGCTATCTCATCCTCTGTACTGGATTCGTTCTGCTGCAAGCCAGGTTCTGTCCCGTTGGGTCCTCTGCCCAGAGCTGATACAGGGAGTAGACTGAGTTCTTCTCTTACCCCGACCATAGCTCCTCATCTGAAAAACTCCAGAGCCCTAAGAAGGGAGCACTGGAGGCCGCTGCAGAAGCAGAAGACTGAGATGTCTGTGGCTGAGGCTTACCCGAGGGGGAGAATGAGAGAAGAGAGAGAATAGCTGGATAGGAGCCCCCCCTCCCCGACTCAAACATTATCCCTTACCCAGCTACACACACACACACACACACACACACACACACACACACGCACACGCACACGCACACGCACACGCACACGCACACGCACACACGCACATACACTAAAACTTTCAAATCAAGCTGCACTGAAATCTTCACATTTGGAGCCCTGGACTTCAAACTGGAGTCTGGTGGTGACATAAGACTCTTAGACCTCCTCCCTCCCTGAAGGCAAGTGAGCATCCTCCGTGGCCAAGGAAGAGCACTTTCCCCAAAGATAGGATGCAGGCACTGCAGGACCAGACACTTGAGAGCAGAGATGCCTGAAGAGAAGATGAAGGAGAAAAAACCATGTGGGTGGAGGGTGGGACATTGGGCAGAGGCAGAAGGAAAGAAAGGAAACCAGGAAAATGCATGAAAAGGAAAGAGGTGAGGGAGAGGAGTGGAGGGCAGGAGAAAAGGAAGGATAAAAAAGAAGAGGAAAGGTCAGAATGAGTAACACCAGGAGGAAGTGAAACCCCAGTCACATGATGCCTCCAGGTCTCATAGAGACCCTCCTCTGCCTCCAGACTTCCCCAGAGGCCTGAGATGCCTGAGGCTCCGTGACTCCCCTTTGGTGGGAAGAAGGGGTCTGACCTTTCCTAAGGAGGAAAGCAGGACAGGGAGTTCCCCGTCTGAGGCCTGCCTCAGTTCACCTGAGGTACCTGCATCCCCACTCACTTCTGCATGGCGGAATCTCCTTCCTTTGCCCACCACACCACCAAAGCGGCTTTCTCCCAGAAGCAACCATCACCAACCGCCGTGGGCCTGAATCCAGGAACGTTTAACCCTAGGCCATGGGGCTAGTTCTCTTTGGAGCATCTGCTTCTTCCTCCTTCCAGGACATTCCATCCCCTTTCCTCCCTCTCCTCCTTCCCTCATGGATCCACTCTTGTCCCACCTGCTGTGTGTGGTCTTCTACCCAATCCCGAAGGTGCTAAGGCTCAGCTCTAGCAATCAGCTCTCCTCCCTCCATGCTTTCTCTGGGGACAACTCCATACACACACACACACACACACACACACACACACACACACACACACAGCTTCACTCACTGTGTTCTGGGGTCTTCTCTCCTACTGTTTCTCCTGATTCTGAAATCCAGAATACAGAAGCCAAGGATTTCGTCTTCCTTCCTTCCTTCCTTCCTTCCTTCCTTCCTTCCTTCCTTCCTTCCTTCCTTCCTTCCTTCCTTCCTTCCT